GAACGTGGTTCTTCGCTCATATTTATAATATAAACGTGGTCCTTCGCTCATACTTATAATATAATCGTGGTCTTTCGCTCATATTTATAAAATAATCGTGGTCCTTCGCTCATATTTATAATATAAACGTTGTCCTTCGCTCATATTTATAACGTACTCATGGTCCTTCACTCCTATTTATAATATAAACGTGGTCTTTCGCTCATATTTATCACGTAATCATGGTCCTTCGCTCGTATTTATCACGTACTCGTGGTCATTCGCTCATATTTATCACTTACTCATGGTACTTCGCTCTTATTTATAATATAATCGTGGTCCTTCGCTCATATTTATAATATAAACGTGATCCTTCGCTCATATGTATAATATAAACGTGGTCCTTCGCTCATATTTGTCACGTAATAACGGTCATTCGCTCATATTTACAATAAAAACGTGGTCCTTCTCTCATTTTTATCACGTAATCGTGGTCCTTCGCTCATATTTATAATATAATCGTGGTCCTTCGCTCATGTTTATAATAAAAACGTGGTCCTTCGCTCGTATTTATAATATACACGTGGTCTTCGCTCATATTTGCCACGTAATCACGGTCCTTCGCTCATATTTTATAATATAATCGTGGTCCTTTGTTCATATTAGCCAAGTAATCATGGTCCTTCGCTCATATTTATAATATAATCGTGGTCCTTCGCTCATATTTTAATAAAAACGTGGTCCTTCGCTCATATTTATAATATAAACGTGGTCCTTCGCTCATATTTATAATATAAACGTGGTCCTTCGCTCATATTTATAATATAAACGTGGTCCTTCGCTCATATTTATCACCTAATCATGGTCCTTCGCCCATATTTATAATATAAACGTGGTCCTTCGCTCATATTTATAAGATGAACGTGGTCCTTCGCTCATATTTATAATATAATCGTGGTCCTTCGGTCATATTAGCCACGTAATAACGGTCATTCGCTCATATTTACAATAAAAACGTGGTCCTTCGCTCATTTTTATCAAGTAATCATGGTCCTTCGCTCATATTTATAATATAATCGTGGTCTTTCGCTCATATTTTTAATAAAAACGTGGTCCTTCGCTCATATTTTTATTAAAAACGTGGTCCTTCGCTCATATTTATAATATAAACGTGGTCCTTCGCTCATATTTATCACGTAATTGTGGTCTTTCGCTCTTATTTATAATATAAACGTGGTCCTTCGCTCATTTTTATCACGTAATCATGGTCCTTCGCTCATATTTATAATATAAACGTGGTCCTTCGCTCATATTTATCACGTAATCGTCGTCCTTCGCTCTTATTTATAATATAAACGTGGTCCTTCGCTCATATTTATAATATAAACGTGGTCCTTCGCTCATATTTATAATATAATCGTGGTCATTCGCTCCTATTTATAATATAAACGTGGTCCTTCGCTCATATTTGTCACGTAATCACGTTCCTTTGCTCATATTTATAATATAATCGTGGCCCTTTACTCATATTAGCCACGTAATAATGGTCATTCGCTCATATTTACAATAAAAACGTGGTCCTTCGCTCATTTTTATCACGTAATCATGGTCCTTCGCTCATATTTATAATATAATCGTGGTCCTTCGCTCATATTTTTAATAAAAACGTGGTCCTTCGCTCATATTTATAATATAAACGTGGTCCTTCGCTCATATTTATAATATAAACGTGGTCCTTCGCTCATATTTATCACCTAATCATGGTCCTTCGCCCATATTTATAATATAAACGTGGCCATTCGCTCATATTTGTCACGTAATCACGGTCCTTCGCTCATATTTATAATATAATCGTGGTCCTTCGGTCATATTAGCCACGTAATAACGGTCATTCGCTCATATTTACAATAAAAACGTGGTCCTTCGGTCATATTAGCCACGTAATAACGGTCCTTCGCTCATATTTATAATATAATCGTGGTCCTTCGCTCATATTTTTAATAAAAACGTGGTCCTTCGCTCATATTTTTAATAAAAACGTGGTCCTTCGCTCATATTTATAATATAAACGTGGTCCTTCGCTCATATTTATCACGTAATTGTGGTCCTTCGCTCTTATTTATAATATAAACGTGGCCCTTCGCTCATTTTTATCACGTAATCATGGTCCTTCGCTCATATTTATAATATAAACGTGGTCCTTCGCTCATATTTATCACATAATCGTGGTCCTTCGCTCTTATTTATAATATAAACGTAGTCTTTCGCTCACATTTATAATATAAACGTGGTCCTTCTCTCATATTTATAATATAATCGTGGTCCTTCGCTCATATTTATAATATAAACGTGGTCCTTCGCTCATTTTTATCACGTAATCATGGTCCTTCGCTATTATTTATAATATAATCGTGGTCCTTCGCTCATATTTATAATATAAACGTGGTGCTTCGCTCATATTTATAGTATAAACGTGGTCCTTCTCTCATATTTATAACGTACTTATGGTCCTTCTCTCATATTTATCATCTAATCATGGTCCTTCTCTATTATTTATAATATAAACGTGGTCCTTCGCTCATATTTATAATATAAACGTGGTCCTTCGCTCATATTTATTACCATGAGTGCGTTATTCCAGGTAAGGTCCCTGGAATCTTACCGATATTGATTTAGTCGCTATTTCCGTAGTCATCGCTATTAATTCACAAACAAAACTAGTGGTGAAATAGTAATTAGTAATTTTCACCTGTGTCGTCATTTTAATTATCCTCGCTATTTCCCACACCAGAGTGAATAAAACACTATTACTTGCAGTATGTCACTAAAGCAATGTAACACGAATGCATGATGCAAAGCCCTTTCTATAAATGTCTAAATGTTCTTTGGTCGAAGTAAGAAACCAGGTGATAATATCAGAGCATGGGTCTTATTTTGGAACTCCTGCCAGAGCAACTGCACAAAAACATAAGGACAAATTAGGAGCTCCTAAGGATGGTATTCCCAGATTAACACCAGTTGTTATTAAGACATATCTTATTAATTCTCAACTCCCGTGAAAGGATCGCAAAATCCTACTCACTGCAAAAGCTACACACTAAGAAGCTACGTAACATAAATCAAAAGTTCTTTGGGGGATCACTGGATTTTCAAATGATATGAAGGGGGTCACCCTGTTTTTTTTTTCCTTGAGGGGAATTCTTTTCATACTTTTGTGACATCAGATTCCCCAGCATCCCCACCCCGGCAAAAGAATATGACCAGTCCCGTATTACTTTTATCAGTTGAAAAATCCTTAATCAACCGAAGAATCGAAAGACAGATAAAACTTAATGTGTACACTTGGTGTTTTGATATTTGTATAGCGTTCATTTTTATTAATATATAATCCTAATTGTAAAGAGCGTAAAGCCCCAATATGTGGCAAAGCAATAAAAATAATTTATGATCACACGATACCCACAAACCCTCTGCTAGTTCCGCGAAGTGTTGTTTCGAAAGTTAAACTCACCTCACTATACGCGGAACCCCATACATAATCGCCATTCATTATGATTGACCTCTTTTCAACTAGCGTGACCCTGCGATATTGAAAAACAGTTCTGCAGCGAACGGGTCGACATTTTGATAGCTCATACGCGCTGTTCCGATTATATTTTGGTCTTACTACACATTGACATTATTACTAGGTGAGTTGGAGGATGTTTTAATCTGTTTCTGTTGCAGTTACTCTGTCGTACAAAGTACTTCGATCACTAGTGTCTAACAATTGAAAATATTTGCCACTTATGGCGGACCATTGGTGTCACACTCGATCTGAAAGCAATGGTTGCCACAAAGTGAACAATTCACATTGGCTTCGTTCTATAATTGATTGCCATATTGAATACACAGATCAAGTGTCGCGTCTACTACCAAAATGAATAAAAATATTTCCCTGAAATCCATAGACAACTAATTTGGTTCTGGGGAATTGTGGTCGTCTTTTATTTTGTCTGTAAAAATGGCGAATTCGCGTTGTGCATGCATACAAAGATTAACGTCCTTAAAAATGGCACGGGTGATTTCACTTGCGGAATGTAGACAAACTTTTCTTCGTACCTGTCCTAATAATATCGTCAGCTCTTTTCAAATCGTAATACATGGAGTAGAGTTAACTATATCCCTCTACAGGTGGCATGGTAAACACAGGGTCCACGAATATTTGTACATGATGGGAATCCTAAATACAAAAAAAAAAGATATTTGAATCATATTCACATTTAGCCCATGATTTGAATTCTGCTTATGAGACTCCTGTTTCACTGATACAGTCTGTGTGATATTGCTGGTTTGGTGCATGCACTAATGCCCTATCGGTACAACACTGATATAGCATTTGACAACTTTACCAAAGTCACTTAAGTCAACTCGAGAAACCTCCTCTCTACTTTCTCATTATTTAAAGTGCTAAAACTAAGTTTCTTAGACTTAATATGCTTAGAAATGTGCTTTGTTGAAGAATTATTATATTTCTAAGCAGACGCCGCTACAGTAGGGACAATCAAATTTGGTAATCCCATGCACAGTGATTTCTTCGAGCACGTCTTTCCTACATAAAATCATTGTAAAACATAGAAATCACACATGGAAATGATGGTATAAATCAAACAATCACCACTCGATGGTTAAAAGACACACCAATCGTCATATATATTTAATCTGCGTATACACTGAAATCAACAAATGTATGTATGATGTATATTAATGAACCTACATAATTATAAAATAAACTTAAACGACAGTTACTCACTGTATGTATGTATGTTTGATTGTTTGAATAAGAAGAATTTCAAATGAAAACAATTGGTTCTATAACTATTTGCAATATGAATATGGGGGTGTTAACTTAAATATACTACTTTAAGATTATTGATCAAATAAACAAGCAGTTGAAACAGTTTGACCTTTCAATCAGTTAAAATCAAGATCTAGATTCGCAAACATTTGATTTTAAGTTTTGATTTCATTGCAGTTACCATGGCGTATTCATCAGCAGGAAGGATTCCAAAAGGAGACCAATTAACTCTTGTTCTTGTAGGCCGAACAGGTTCCGGTAAAAGTGCAACTGGAAACACCATATTAGGTAAACCACATTTCATGTCGGTGCGCTCGATGTCATCAAAAACAAGAAGCATAGCATGGGGTCGACGTGAACAAGGAAGAAAACTTGTGGTAATCGACACACCTGGATTCTTCGACACCAGTGTTGAACTGACCAATGAAGATATGGCTAAAGAAATTGCAAAATGTGTTGGCATTGCAATGACACAGGGCAATGGTCTAGACGCTATTATATTGACACTGAATGCCGATGAACGACTAACCGAAGAACACATCAAGAGTATAAAGTTACTACGTGCTTTATTCGGTGACGACATGATGAAATATGTTACAATACTGTTTACACGGAAGGATCAACTTGATCTCGATAAAGTCAGTTTAGCCGATTTCTTGGAGGAGGTTCCCTCGTATATGAAACATCTGCTAATAGACTGCAATAACAGGGTGCTAGCTTTCGACAACAGAACCAATGACGCAAATGTCAAGGAGCAACAGACTGCCGAGCTTGTGCGATTGGTCGACAAAACCAGAGCTTCCAACGGAAATAAACCGTTTACAAATGATATTACGAGACGCGTGAAGGAAGCCGTTGAAGATGATAGACTGTGCAGGTATACTGGCATGGTAGGGGCTGACAGACAAGCAGATGATATCGCATCGGGGAATAACAGTGAAGTCATCGACAAAATACTAGAATTTCTTACTGCACTAATACCCGTGGCGTTAACAGTGGCACAGTTATTTATGCAATCCAGGAAATGACTGTTTGACAAATGCAACTTCTGTGTTCATTTGCATTTGTACACGTGATGTACCTTAACATGATGCATTACATTTTCAGAATTTAATATTAACATTAATGATTCTAAGACTTTTTTGTTATTATATTCTCCCATTAAAAAAAACTAGAGTTTCTTAGTGCAAGTTAGTAATTTCATGTCTCGCAATATTACGAGTAAAGTTATATGTACTCTTGATGTGAACATCATGAGTCAGATTTTAAACTCATAACCTCACATTAAGCTTGTCAGTGTTATATTGCGCTGGAGTTATTGACACAGTACCTATAAGCCATTGTAGTCAAATTCACTTGTATAACACATTGGTATTGTTGTACAATTCAGTTTAACAGTATGTATGCATTGTAACAATATTCAGTTATATATCACATATGATATTATACTGAAATTCGACATTGAACTATTTACACTGTGTGTTTGTGTTTAGACCATTAATCATAGTTTTATACTTCAAGCCTAAAATAAACTTCCGTAGTTATTCAGCTTATCGTTATTGTTTATTTACAACACACAGTTATACTATCCCACAGTAGTTTATTGCTACTACGATCATATTTCTTTCAGTGAAGATTACGTGTAACTGGTCACGTGTATTTTGGGACACTAAAACATGTGGCAATATATTGTATATAACTTCCATTTTTTTACAGAAATTTCGAAAAAAAAAATTTAAGCAAATTTTGAAAAGTATTTTTTTCCATCAAATAACCGATTGTGATTATGCACGAACGAACTCTTTATGAGCTATGTGATGTGGCCAGTGACATCTTCGTAAATCGGAAGCCCTCACAGTTACCTATGGGAGTCCTTAAGATATACCCAGAAAAAGATTGGTATAACTATGTATTTGCTGCATGCTCAAGCACGAGAAACTTTTGTTTTACGATATGAAGGTCTGGCATCCCTATTTCCCCTTGGCCCACGTCATTGCTTTTCGTGAGACCTTGTCTCTCCTTCCGATAAAATTTCGTACATACTTGTTTGTCACCTTTTGTATTGCGGTATTGCTCACGATATAGATAAATTGGGATAATTTGGCCAGTGATAAAATAGTGATAATTCTCCATTTTCCGTGATTTTAATGCACATTTCAAATTGTCCATAGCCTTGTTAATATTTTTTATTTTCTATTGGTTTATGGGAGAATATATACCTAATATTTTCATGAGAAAATGGGTCATTTAACCCCGAACAGTTTTCCCGCACAAATTCCCATTTATCTTGCTAGACAGCTTCATTTCCCCCTCGTTAATCCTACGTTTTCAAAAAAATTCCCTAGCATTTGCAAAAGCTCCTGGCAGATTTTCAATTTGAGATGAAGGGCGGCAAAAAGTTACTTCCTTTGCCGAAAATATTATTCCTTTTTATTTCATTGTTGGAACAACAAACCAGCAGTTTAGCAATTTTTTAAAACTGTGTTATAACATTGTAGGTGTGTTCGGGGGAGGGGGTGTCAGTACGCACGATGGGATGTTTTCCCCTAATTTACATAATTGGTCCCTGAGTTTTTGAATTATTGGAATTCTAATAACACAAATCATAATGTTTAGCAAATCAAAAAAATCGCAGTAGTTATGAACATCATCAAAACACAGCTAATTACAATATTTGTGGTCAAGATAAACAAATTTCATTAGTTTTTCGTGTTTTATTAATATTTTATTCCATAATGTGATGGTCAAACTTGTTCATACTGGAATCTAAAGTTTCATGAGTGAATGAAGAATACACCAAATCAAAAAAACTATAATTTACAATTCACATGCAGTTGTGATATTAAGAAAAGTTAGGTTGAAAAACAGAAATGTCAGACGGTGGGAGAGAAATATACTAAGAGTTGGTCAGCAATTAATATGAGTTGACTGAAAAGTCGTGATAGTTGTATGAAAAGCCGAAATAATGCCCAAGCCACAATAAATGCAGTAATTTAATTAGATAATAACTATCTCAAATTATCCATTATTACATCATATCTATCTAAAAACATATTCTACTCTATAATTTCTATTTAATTTTAATTTTTTTTTTTAAATATGATTTTATCCAAATTTTAATATTTCGGAATACATTTCTGAATAAATAAATAAATAATATATTCATTTTAAATATAACACAGTGGACATCGTGGAAACATTAGATATATTTCCTTTGAGTGATTCATAAATACATATAATTACTAGTAAGAAGGTCTACATTTTATATATCTTGTATATAAATTTTAGATTCACATCATTTCACTATTTGCAGCGTATTACCTACCAAAAATGTCAGAATGTGATCAGAACAACTGTCAATCCTGGGCAACCCAGCTGGCGTGTCAAGAATAGTTTACGATGGAGTATTCTGTATTACATTCACTTTAATCGTCTGTGTAATTTTCTGTGACAGGTTATAACAAAAAATCATCCATCAATTTTTTTTCAAAAAATAAATAAATAAATGGTTCTTTCTATGATATCTTCACCTGAACTTGAAATCAAAGAAACCACACAATCAAGTTTCTCTTCCTTATATCTAGATGTCTTCTTTGAATGAATGCCAATCTAAGGATAACCTTTCTACTATACTGTACGACAAACGAGATAATATTGATTTTGACATGATCATCAATTTTCTCCATCTTTCTAGTAATATCCCTCTTTCTCCTGCATATTGTGCATACATTTCTCAGCTCGTTCGATATGCTAGAGCTTGTACTGGATATGATGACTTTGGGAAATGTAATAAACTCCTCTTTCTCTCCCTCTCTCTCTTCGAAGCTGCTAAGTCAAGGTTTGTTTTCTATAGCAGATATCATAACTGGTGAAGCAATATGACAAATCATCTCTGAAGATCATCTCTGATTGATTCAATGTCATTTAATCGCGCCATAGTGCTCAAAGGATTTCATTTCTTTACATAATTTTTGTAATAGTTTCACCAAAACGCTTCATTTCATTTTCTTCACTAAGTGTATAGAAACTCGTAATCCAACTATTATTCTGTGGTCTGAGCAATGCCGTTATACTTTCTTTTTATTCCCTGTACTATAAACAACCAGACTCTAGCTCCATAGTTAACTTATGGCGTAATCATATTTTCCAAAATACATGACCATATTCATACCTATTGTACCTGTCGTTAAACTGTGTTTATTATTAATTTAATGTATTCTAATATTGCTTTTTTTTATAAGTTTCCATAACATTTGTATGATCTTTGTTACATAGCATTTACATATAATAATTATACATTTATACTGCTCGTTCGATTATATTAATTGTATTATATTGGCCTGTATTACTTGCGCTTAATGATGATAAATACATGCATTTACTTGTGCATTACTAGTAACTTGAACTCGAATTTCCAACCTTAATCTGGAACCTGCTGCGTTTTTAATCTGCCGATATATGTGTATGTATGTTAAGAACACAGTTCCACGAACGAATAGAATACAATTTATATATTGTCAGGTCACATATCAATGTCCATTGGTTTATTATGTATTATTATTATTGTCCCATGTCACCGTGGAATCTCATACTTTTGTGTGTTACAATGATGTATTTTGAAAAACTTGTCCTAATTTAATACTGTACCAAAAAATTGCATTGTTAACAGTTTTTAAAGCCCAGATTTCATTAAATATTTCAGGACAACAAAAAGTAGCCACAATATATGATTTTTTCAGTTACAATTTGAGATATGACATAATAATTTGCCATAGGAACCTATGGTAAAAGCGTTATAACACTGACAACATACTAGTAGTCACTATCCATTAAAAATTCAACCATCATTTTAACGCAAATTAGACTGGTGAGGCACCATTTTTAAAAATCAATTGTTGCGGTGTATTGCTCACATTTGATCAGGACCAAAAACTGTTTGTAGTGATATTACAAGATTAAGTGACGAAACAAGGTCGACTATCAATTCGTACGTAACTCAATACGCAGAAAAGTACAGTAGAATGGCATCCAGTAACACGAAAGTAAAAACACGATACACACAAAAATATATAGTGATGCGCACGAGCAGATTTAGGGGGAGGCGCCCACCCCACGTCAATATGAGCACCCCCTTACCGAATAGGTGATTTTCCGCACAATTGCGAGATCTCGCGAGATGCATGAAAGACGCGCGTCGAACATCTGCCGCAAAAATCGAACGATTTGATTTTGAACTCGAATTTCCTTATTTCGTAGCTCACACCGACCGGCCGATCTTCGACAAAGGAATATTGCTTCCGAATACCCTTACTTAATCGAAATTGGCTATCATCAAATGTGGACAGCACATTATTAAGCATGGAAATGCCCCCAAAATACTTTCGCGTTTGTCGAATCCCACGCGATGTTTGACGCCACTTCGACGCTATGACCTTTGTTTGTCCTGTTTTTACGTTCGATTTCACGCATAACGCGTGATTCTCGCAGTGTACGGAAAATGGTCTATTGGGGGTACCGTCAGTGATGCGTCCTTTATAAATGATGGATAAGACTCACATCCCTGATTTTAATATTGAATGGAAACGCTGTAATTTATTTATTTATTTATTAACACTTACTCACTCCCCGGAGAAAGTCGCAAGGTTACAGCATGGAAGGTACTAGTACCTTCCATGGTTACAGATAATAGTAAAAGAATACAGCACCAATACACTAATAAGGAAGTAATAAAAAAAAATAAACTAATCTACAAAAACAGAATATTAATGGGAAAAAAAATAATATTGATGATTGGTTTGTACACAGTTTTTGTTTCCTTACAATAGAGATTAAGATTAACAACAAATCACCGAAAATCACAGCAAAGTAACGCAGTGAGGGTTGAAAACGTGTATTTAATTTACTCCCATGCACGCTTACTGTGAATACCTAGCTAGTGGGTCTTTTTACTGCAATTATATTGTTCTAGGGAGTCACAGTGATTCATAAACAAAATGGCGATTTCGATGGGTGTGAAGTCACTTTCGCTTCTACTATTTCTCATGTCTACGGGTAAGTGCGGTTGAGAATAGGCATAGTTAGAGTGGTTAAACTGCTATTTATCGTGCCACAGTCATCTATCAGTTTTAATTTGACTAAACACTTCTGAATCTCTAAACTAAAAAAACATTCCATGTCTTGACGCAGTGTGAGTGTTGGCATGGACGTATACGTCCGTGGTGTTAGTAAGGGTAATATTGTTATGCAAATCAGATGCAAATACAGTAATTGTGTTGTCCATGTCGTGGCCCGAAATATGACAAAGCCAACACTACCCAAAACAAAAACAGCGGGTGATTACATTTTGGGTTGGAGTGTGTGTACGGTACATGCAAAGTTCGTTGACCCCGTTTTCTATATAGGCGATACATACATTTTGCAAAACCGCAGTCACGTGTGTCATATGCATGATTTCAGTAATGTACACGCTCTCACACAGGAATGCATTCTATCTTAAATTAAATTATCAAAATCAAATCTATAATAAACCATAGACCCTAGAAGAGAGTATCTGCAAACATGAACAATTTGTATGTAGTTGTTGAATTTCCAACCACTAGCTGCTGCATGACTGAAACATGGAGACACAAACAAAATTTTCCGTCGGCATGCAAAACCTGTGAATACACTTTCGTCGTAGAATCAAGTATTTATCAAGTTCAGCAAGATCATTTATTCGCTAATTTAAAACGAAATTCATAAATATAGAAATTAAGTTATTGGCAAAAATCACTTTTGAAATAACTGTAATGTGACCTAAATTCAATTCAGAGAGGATTTTGTAAAAATTGCAAACTCCACTGAATAATTCTTTTTCTAACTTTTCTGTTACTTGTTTTTATTTCTGATTACTGTTGCTGTAGACTTTGTTGAGTGGAGATTATCATAATAGTGATTGTCCGTCAGCATTGTCATCAACTATATTTCTTTTTAGCTCCGCTGTTGACTTTGTCGAGCGGAGCTTATCATATCAGTGATTGTTTGTCGTCCTTGTCAATGTTTTACATTTTCGACTTCTTCTTGAAAACTACAAGCCTGAATGCTTTGATATTTGGTGTAATATATGTACCTTAGGTAGACCTCTCTCAGATTTGTTCATTTTGTAATGATATCTTCAATTCTCTAATTTTGATGAATATTTTTGTCATTTTTGGTAAAAAGTGATATTTTCGACTTCATGTTAAAAACTACAAGTGCAATTGCTTTGATATTACATATATAGGTACTACATGTGGACCTCTTTCAGATTTGTTAATTTCATGGTGATATCTTCAGTTATCTAATTTTGATGATTGTTTTTGTCATTTTTGGTGAAAAGTGATATTTTTGAATTCTTGTTGAAAACAACAAGTCTCATTGCTTTCAATGATACTATACATATTGTTCATTTTCTAATGATATCTTCTGTTCTTTAATTGAAATGTGCATTGCAGCAGCGGAGCTATCTCAGCCAACTGGTTTGACTTCTTCTTGAAAACTACAAGTCTGATTGTTTTGATACTTTGTGTTTTTATACCTTGGGCAGACCTCTCTTAGATTTGTTCATTTCGTAACGATTGATGTCTTCAATTGTCTATTTTAAATGAAAATGGTGAGAAGTGATATTTTTGACTTCATGTTGAAAACTGCAAGTTTGATTGCTTTGGTATTATACATATAGGTACCTTTACCTAACAGTATAATATTTTAATCACCTCTATTGTATTCATTGTTATACTAAATTGGGTCTATTGTTTATCCAAAAGTAAATTGTTAGGAACCTATACTCTATAATGTCCTGGGGAGAATGCGGGGGAGAACTCTGCTTAGGTGAACCTCTCTCTCATTGTTCATTGTGTGATGATATCTTCAATTCTTAATTATAGAGCTATCTCAGCCAAGGGGCTACTTATCTTAGTGTTAAATAAATTATTATGAGTGATATAAGATTTCTAGTACTAATGTACATTTCTCTTGTGATTTTATCAACATCTTTCAATTTGCATGACTTGTTCAATTCACATGAGATCATATCACACCTCTAGTATACTCTCATTTTATGAATCTTTGATTCCATGTATTACTCAGTGACTGCCGATTACTGTGTTGGGTACTATGATTCATTTAATGACTGGCAAAGTGGTTTTGACTGTCCCAAGAGCTGGTTTGATGACTCTGATGACAGGTATTGTTGTGGATCGTCAACTTACAAGTACTGCTGTGATGATATATTTGGGTTTGACGATGACGATGACTGGGATGACGTCAGCGGTAGCTTTCATACTGCGTAAGTGTAGCGTGAATATTTTTATTTTTATTACTATTTGATTAAAGCTACATCACCAGCCATATTTTAAAATGGGCATGCTTAGAGGTGGACTAATAGATCGAAACAACTTGTATAACTTTCTAATAACAATTTGTAGCAATTGAGTTTATTGTGTTGAACTCATTGCCAAGTTTATAATCAAGACTTGTTGGACTTGCTATCTTGTGAACTTGTTTGATAATAATCAGTGTAATTGATTATTGTAGTTTTGATTGGTCAGCCAGTAACCTACTGGGCACATGTATCTCTAATGTTGACTTCATCATATGGCAGCAATATACATGTGATCTTTGGTAACAACGTCAGCAATTTTAACAATATTTCAGCAGTTGATCTTAGTTTGACCTTGTATTACAGACAATGTAATCCTTCTTTCCATGGGGATTTCTTCCAAAGTTATGTTATGCTTTGGTGGGGTTTGATGGGAGAAACAAAATTGTATCATAATCATTACATTGTATTGCTCGTATGCTTTCAGTATTGAAAACACATTCATTGGTTATTGATAAGTTTAGCAGTTCAGGTTGTATTCAATGACCATTTCCCAGTTTTTCTTTGATACCACATGCATGCATTTAGGGACGACGTCAAAAGTGGGATGTCGGATAAAAAACTTATTTGCTTTAGTTTGCGGGTGGTGGGGTTGATATCAAAAAACTTTCCATCCTACAAAAACGATTTTACTTTTTAATGAAGTCAAAAAAATCTTGGAGTAATTGTAGATCATTTTTTTTTTCTATCCAATCATGGACAGAAATAACCAAAAAGAAAAAGAAAAACATCCAAGACGAGAAAATGGTTTAGTTCGAGTGTAAATATGTGCACCAAATGAGGTGCATTTGTAAAGTCTTTTTACACCCACCCAACAGCCAACTGCTACGCAATACTACTGTCCGATTATCAATTTGTATTTAATGGTGAATGTAGTCTGACACCATGACCAATATTTGAATTAAGTTTCAGTGGGGGGGGGGGGGTGGAAAAAAACTAAAGGAATTAATTTTTTTATCCGACATCGATCTTTTGACGTCGTCCTTTACTTCATTCTCAGGGGCGTCTTTTCCCCAAATACAGTTTATATTCGAAAACAATTTTTGCCTGTCAACTACTGGCTGATTATAAATGATTGATGTTTCATGTGATCTGTTTATAATCAAATGCTGCTGGTTTGGAAAATACATGTACATACAATCTCCACTCATGCATCTTGTAACAAATCATCATAGCACATTTTTTGACCGCTTCACTACTTTTTAGTTTACTATGACTAAAATAGTGCCATTCATATAGCATTCATGTATATCTAAATAATCTTTGTCTACAGAGAATGGAAATAAATACTGTGAAATACTTTATTTTAGCTGGAATTAATTTTCGCTGAAAAGACTTTTTTGGGTGTTTTGTGTGGATTTTATTTTCACTGATTTTTGACGAGTTTAATGTAAAATATAGGAAAAAAAGTATATTCGCTAGATTTTATTTTCACTGAATCATTCCTTCAGCGAAAATAGCGAAAATTAATTCCAAGCGTATTTTACAGTAGTTACTTATAACTAAAATGTTGCTTCTCATGTGTTGTTGCTGTAGGTGGAGTGTGATTGTAGGTGTAGTGGTGTCAGTCATATTCGTCATTATAGTAATTATTGTTGTGAGCTGCTTTATGTGTAGCTGTTGTATCTTAAACCAGCAGCGAAGAGCCACTCGTACAAGTAAGTACCAGTATTCAATGTTTATTCAACAGTTGTGCCTTGCAGTACTGTGGTCATACTTGCTTAATACTATTACCACTTTATATTCATATATGGTATGCACCTGTATTTTTTTTTTTTCACTCTTTACAAAATTTTATTTCATTACATTTATTGCAGTAAACATTAATTACATGATACAAAGCGACAAAGACAAGCAAACAAAAGTAACAGAAATAAAACAAAACAAAAAAGGGTAATTGCTAATGCACTGAAATGAAAAAAGTTTACACACTATCAGAAATAATAGACCACTTCCGTAAATGTAATTCCAATTTGTTTTTAGATATAGCTATATGCTTTTCAATCTCGCATGCTTCAGTTACCACCTTACGAAAATATACATCACTCGGTATACTCTTACTCATTTTAAAATTATAAATGTATTGCTTCCCTAAAAGTACCAAATAATTCGCCAACACTGAAAAGTCAATACAGCCTGAAATTATCTGTCTGAGGGAAAGAGCATCTAGACCAAAGATATTTTTAAATACATCACTAAGGGCAAACCAAAATTTCTTTGTATATTTACAATAAGAAAAAAGATGGTAAGTAGTTTCCGTTTCCTGATGACAGAACGAACAATTGGGACTACTGACTTTTGATGATTTCATTTTAAAAAGATCATAATTAGTGAACAAGATTTTATGTAGTAACTTAAATTGAAATTCTCTTGATTTTGTGTCAGTTGCTGTCCTAAATGGTAAAACATAATATTTAGACATAGCAGCAAAGAGTTTAAAATCTTTTATAAAATATGGTGTTGTATGTTTCATGATTTGGTTAAGGATGGCCGACAGGTGCCCATTTTAGTTGAAAAAATGAAGTATTTCTAACCAGATCCTGTTTATACATGGATGTATTTTTTATGGTACATAAATTTTTTTGTAGAAAATCATGGAGCATTTTTATATCACCAACTTACTGGCAACCATTGTGTTTTTAGAAATATTTTCCAGGAGCTAAATCATTTATCATGTCAGACTATGTAGTGTTCTTATTATTCTCATGTATAGATATTGTAACCAATGTATCAGCTTCTTGTTCATAACCCTAAACTGGTATTTTACAAAGTTTTCAAAATTTACATGTTTTGCACTGTCTAACAACACTGTACTAGAAATGTACATTTACCCATGCTTTGTGTGAAGTTGAATATTTTTATATGATGGTAAATACGAAAACCATATATGATACCGATAGATTGTAATTGAATGATCATAAGCAAAGCTCTCACTGTAATCTGATGCTCCTAGTTAAAGTAATGTCAAATAGTAAAATATAAATCATATTATTCATGTTTAAACTTTGAATATTTTTTTTTCTCTTCAGCAACAACCGTGACCCGGCCAGCAACTCAGATGACCACTGTCACAAATACCAACTATCCGATGGGACCACAACCTTATCCAGCACAGCCCCAATGTCAGCCATATCCAGCACAACCCTATCCAGCTCAGCCATACTCAGCCCCTCCACCATCCTATCCATCAGCTACTGCTGGAGCTGCACCGTACCCAGCTGCACCGAATTATGATCCATCAAATTACCCTGCATACCCCCCAAGTACTGCACCAGGTTACCCACCAGCCCCTTCCTACCCTCCTCCATCAGATGCCCCTCCCTATCCTCCCCCATCAGATGCTCCTCCCTACCCTCCCCCGTCGGATGTCCCTTCCTACCCTCCTCCATCGGATGCCCCACCATATGCGCCAACATCGAATGCTCCTCCATACCCAACAAAATACTAGTATTTTTTTTATCCTATGCTTGACTTGCAGTAAATTATTAAATAGACAAGGCTGAAAAGTTTTGCATGTGACTATAGAGGCTGCCCTGTTATCAGGCCCTGAAATTGTAGATACTAACTTCATTTCATGCAGTATTATTGTCCCACTTACGAGGCCTACAGGTTTTGACATCCAATCAGATATGCTGACTGCCTGCCATTTTTTTATCTTTAAGCTTAGCTTAGGCTGATTTGTTGAAAACATTTTTTTCTTATCTCGATTCAAAATGGGGTCAATTTCCTTATTATTAATTAGTTATTAATGAATGCACTTCTGTACATAACATTTCAGCCATGCCTATAGAAACACTTGTATCCATAGATTACATATGAACATGCAGTCAATTTATCAACCAGTCAAAGGTTGTTGGCTGTCTCGTCAAAAACTCCCAATACAAAAACGTGTAGAACCTTGCAAGGTGACGTTATTTTGAGTTGATGTGTTATTTGTAGATTATTTTGATGTTGCTGTGATGTTCTACTTAGTTTTATTAGTTTTAGTGAAAACAGAACCATCAGTCATGCTCTATATAAAGTAACTTTAAAGTGGGGGAGTCGTCACCTACGCATGCTTCAGGTGGCCATAGGGTGTCATTGTTTACAAACAAGCATCTACCCATGAGCCTTTGCGTTTTTAGCATGTGTTGTTATCATCGCTTGGGACTCAACTCTCCAGTGTGTGCGCAGGTGATGACCCTCTCGCTTTAACCATTCAAGGAGTGGTCAAATTGTCATTCAGTTCCTCTTGGGGAAAAAATACCAGTGGTGAAGAATTACCCAATGATCACTTTTACAATAAGCTTCTTTATAAATAAATCAAAATGTTTTTTTTTGTATTTAATGAGTATTTTCAAAGGAAACTTGAAAACAAAATCAACATATTTGGTACAAGAACAACATGTGCACATAGTTGCCAAAGTATCCAAAACTTGTTCTCATTATCCCTGTATGTTGTGTATTAATGTAATGCAAATGACAATTTTATCATTGATGACTCTGCTTTTCATTTTATGTAGTTATAATTACCTTTATTTATTTACAAAAACTTGCATTTTCTTGACAATGTATCATTTACAAAAAGAATCCAAGTCACACATGTGCGGGAATTGTAAGATGCATATGCCAATACTGTTCTAATACATTTGTACGTGTAACTTTTACACTAATATACAGATGTGTGGTTACCACAGTAATAATTGTTATCACTAGTGTTGAGGGAATTGAAAACGTAACAATTTAAAAGAAAACAATTCAAGCAAAATGTTGATGCAAAGCAACACTGTACCATATTAATTGTTCTGCAACCCTAACATATTTCATAAGTAAAAGTTGTGCTATAAAACAATTTGTAAACTATCAAAATGCATATTCATAAAAGTTTTAATGCAAGTTAAGATTTTGGATTGTGAGAGCAATTATGGAATTAAGAGATGATAGGCAATTCCATAATGTACAATTGTGGACTTCTCTTAGCACTTTGGCAAGATTTTTACTAAATATATCTAAGCAATTACTTCAATATTTCATTTGTATTTGGAAATAACATTTCATAATATATGCATTTACGTTCGTGTGTTTTTTTTTCAGAAATTTTTACTTTATTGTAATCTTTAGAATATTCAAATTGCTATGTATTGTGGAAGATATGAGTTGTACATGTAGCCCCGTTAGTTGTGTGTGTGTGTGTGGGGGGGGGGGGTAGATATCTTATTTGCACAATCTATTTGTGGGTTCCTGGTGTTCTGAAGAGCTATTCAAAATGTATGCAGCGAAAATCAACCCTCTTACGAAGACAAACTTTGAAATTGTCTATTTGGCACCATGATTCTTAAAATGGACGATCCATATGTTGAAGATTGACAAAACTGAATAGTGGACATTATTGCAAAAACACTTTATATTTATACTCTCAATTTTGTAGTACTTGTATAATATGTACATTCATTTTTACTGAGTAATAAATGTTTTTTTTCCCTCGTATGTCATTAAGTTTGGCTCCGTGTGTAAATCGGACTGCGGAGGCAAGAAGGGGCTGTGTACGTATTACAGTAATTGTATTTGAACCCAAGAGCGGCTTGAGTGAAGTTCAATGTCAGAAGTGTACATTGTGTGGCTTATTAAACTTGCCAATCTGCTAAATTGTGTCGTGAATTTCAAATTTTTGGTTGCACATATACTGAAAGTATTCAGATAGCTGATATGAATGGTATATGGCATCAACAGATGTGTTAAACATGGAGCCTTTATATACTTGTAACAAGATGCGAGTACTACCGGTAATATTTCTGGTAAATCAAAGGACAAAAATATTGGAATGCCGAGTTAAGAGGCATAACATAAAGTATAGTACAAGTTTTAAACTTGCCATTATCTATAAAGATTACACGACTGACTTGATAGCATTGACAATGTTAGGACCAGTGTGTTTTATATAATGACTGAGTTTTTAGGAATTTACAGTCAAAATGAAATCTTGTTTTTTTATTACATCAATGACGCCACAGTGAATTGGCACAACTAGTTTTGTCATCAACGCTTCATGTAGGTTTAGAGGGTCCTCCGGTCAGGACTTTGTATTTACCAGTAGACACAGCTGGGCAATACTTAGATATTACACTGGTGTAGCGTAAACTACGAGTCAATATGCGAAACTACTTATAAGATTGTGACCGATTGGCTAACGGTCAGATCAATCAGAGAGCAGTTTGTTTCTAAAATATCAAATTCTGCCTTGTATGTACCACAGACTGTTAACCTAACTGCAATCTATTTCAATGCAATTGTTCAGAGAATGCTTTTATGGAACTATAAAGCATTAAACTGTGTAAAGAAAATTATTGCATTCATTATTTTAACACGCGTCTGATTTATGAACATACATCTACCCACTGTAATAAGTAGACATTCCATTTATTATTGAAATTGATAAAAATATACACCTTAACAATATCCCTTAGATTGAAATTTTGGATTAGTTTAAAAGATCATATTAAAGCTGCATGTTCTTTAATCAATGTAACTGAGCCATTATGATCTTTCTGATACCAAATAAGCCCACATGGAGTGACATGTGCATTGCAACAAAACTCTATTCATTTCAAAATTCCACCAGTCACAGTTCCTTAGGGACTGTGCACCAGTCAAAAACAGGGGATGTGATATAGAATATACATTTTGGATCACAGTAACATGGGAAAATGTGATGTTTGGTTTACAATTATTTCAATTGATACAAACACATGATACCCACACAAACTCTCTATAATAAAGAGAGCATTAAGTATACATGGACAGTAAAAATACTTGAGGGCGCACTTCAGAATGTCGGCACATCCTTGCTGCAACACGATATTCAATAAGTTAATATCCAGACTGGATTTGATTGGGTATAATTTTGCACCATAAATATACACTTCTGTTCATACAAGTATATACAAAAGTAAAAATATCTAAAAAACATTTAGGGCGTGAATCAGCAGAAATGAGTGAAAATGCAATGATTTCTGTACTTCAAAACAATCAATAAACAAGACTTTTACAAAAATGTTTCTGATCAATTTGTTTTTGTTTTATTGTGAAATTGTCCTATTTATGAAAACTGCATTTTTATTTATGTTTTTTTTCAAAAATCTGACATTTTCAACTGATTCACAGTGAACAAAAACATGAATTTTATTTTTAATGGCCTACCGGTAATAGTCAAATTTAAGCAGAAATGAATTCTTGTATTATATTTGATTGCTTAAAAATGAACTACAAAAATGAACAAAAAGTGTAAATTAATAAATTCTGAATGAAAAATAATTGTATAGCAATAAATCACAGTATATCATTGCTACACCATGATTAAAAATATGGATGCTAAAATAAGAAAAAATACAACAATACCTGCAAGCATGACCACATTAAATCATTATTAAACCTTTAAACACCATAACAAAAATTATGTAATATTTTGCACATTTTTACAGAACTTTCAATACATTATTCTTGCTATCCTAGAATCAAACAGATCATAATTTTTCTATTGGTTACAAGTCTCACCCCCACCCAATTACATTTGCATCCTTAAGTTCGTATGAATTTTATTTTGCTGTTTAATACAATAAATAACTACCTAACAACCATTCAAACACATAACAGATTATTTGGTAGAAAACTAATATATAATTCAACACCTTATATGTTGTTAACAAAAACATAATTAACAAAGTTATTGTACTGGTATTCACATTTAACACTTCTACAGTCCTGTAATTTTCCATTCAAATTTCCTGCAACTCGCATTCTGCTGAATGCTATCCCCCCCCCCCCCCCCAGATTTTGTATGTTGATAGCCTGTTACAAAAATGTTTGGCAAGCACAATCAAAATTTGCAAACAATATGTTTCATTGTATTAAATTAAATGTTCATTGCAGTCTAAAGTAACTGCATTTTACATATGCAGCTCTTCAGTTCGGGTCTTGATTTTAAAATGAGGGAGATTGGCATAATAATAAGAAATGACCACTTCAATGATGGAGAAACACAAATGTCCAACTTGATTGAACAAATACATTCATCTGTACATTCTTCCATTGATATGCCACAAGACAATAAAAGCAGCAATGTTACTACTATGAAATTGAAAAACAAAATATTGGTTGGGAGCTGAAACATTCAGTTATGCTGAAAATTTAGGAAATATAGTCCTTCAATTTGCACACGCTCGTATCATCCAGAGTTATTGGGAAACCAAAATTGTATAACTGCATATTTTGTGTAAAATTATTTTCTGGACTGTAAACTTGACGTATAGAGACAGGAACAGTCTATTGTGGTTAGACTGTACACTCTATCAAGTCTCTGTGTTATTTATACTGTACCTGGTGCGAGCGTTGGAAAGCCTAAATAGGTTTTGATTGTATACAGCGCCACCAGTGGCTTTTCCTGTCTTTATGCATCAAGTATGGCACATAATACAGTCCAAAAACATAGTATTACACACAAAAATCAGACAATTTGAATTTTTGTTTTGCTGTTCATCTATTCATCAGTGTGTAACAAATATAACAGATGTAAATACTTGATATAAATTTGAATACAATGCTTATAATGAGATATATATATAGGTGATATAGCAACAGCTGCTAATTGCTGTATACTGTAAAATACTTTATTTTAGATGGAATTAATTTTCACTGAAAAGACTTATTGGGTGTTTTGTATGGAATTTATTTTCACTGATTTTTGACAAGTTGAATGTAAAATATAGCAACAAGGGTATATTCGCTGGATTTTATTTTCACTGAATCATTCCTTCAGCAAACATAGCAAAAATTAACTCCAAGTGAAAATAAAGTATTCTACAGTACTTGATATGAATTTGAATACAATGCTTATAATGAGATATATATAGATGATATAGCAACAGGTGTTAATTGCTGTATATTCAAGGATTCCAACAATTACTGTATTTGCTCTATTAGAAATGTATCTTCAAAAAAAGCATGCATAAACGAAAACTTGCATTTATTGTATGAAGGATCATTAATTATTTTGACCATGGATAACGCATGTAATTTATTAAGTTCATGCGCTACTAATAGAACAAATACAGTATAGCTGTTAAGTATCCTCCATAATATATTACAAAATTATTATCACACAGCAATATCATGGGATAGGATGAAATAATCATAGAATAAAAAACATCCCTAGTTTTTCAAACTAATGAATGAAAATATGAAACTTTAAAGTCATCCAACCTGCACATCCTTCTAGTTTGTAAATATTGAAAGTGGTGAACTATTCACCAGAACTATGATCTGACAATAGTTTTTTTTTAGAATGTAGGCAGTCCTAGGGGGTCTGCCAAATGCATGAGGCTGAGGCTCCTCAGGCAAGTAGTTATTAACCCCACATTTAATTCAGATTGAACAAATTGCTTATTTTCACCTCAATCCCATGACTGCATGTTATTAGTATCAATTAAGAAATGAATGTAAATCATACTAATTTTGTTTGTACATTTAGATAACAAAATTTTGTTGTTATAAGTCCTAGCTCACTCTACATCTGAGTGCAGTGGTTGGAAGTTAGGAATGGGTCCAACTTCCCGACACGATGCTCCCTGGCAGATCATCAGCATTTCCAATCGCTCGTTTTGTTCTTCGATGATATGGGGATCCACTTGATGGATGATATTGACAAGCTGGTCAGGATCCTTGGATATATTGTACATTTCAACAAAACTCTGAAAAACAAAATGTAGTAATACATTGTTCATATGTACAAACTGCATTGAAGAACACATTGTGCCCTTCGCCATAACACTACATTCGTTTAATAAATCCACAATAATAATATAAAGTCAAAAACTGCCAATCTTAGTAATCAATTTAGCTTTTTATTACCATAAAAATGATGCTGATTGCAGAGTTTCATAAAATGATTTTTCTTTTGCAATTGTCTCTTGCAAAATTATCAACAGCGAAAAGTACTCTTTGCAATCAATTGGCTGATTGAATTACACTGGAACGTTTTAAACTGATGTTGTTGTGCACTGCTCTCGTTGATTGGATTGGCTGGTTGGATTCAACTGCTATAAAAATTTATAAATATTTATAAAGATGAAGGAAACAGGTTTGTTGTGCTGAGAGTACATCAAACTAACTTTACAAACTATAATTTATTCATACTACTTATTATAACTAAATCCCAATATTCAAAAGATGTGATGCACATAAGATAATAAAAAGAAATGAAGTAGTCATAAGTGGTGTTATAACATCTTTGACTATATACTCACCTCACTGTCACTAAACTCACAATACATCATATTTACAGTATCATTCAGTGTTCGACGACATATGTATGTGTTGTTTATAGCATCTTCACATGAACAGTCTATGGGAGAACATGCCTAGATTAAGATACATATGATTCCTAAATTAATATATAATCAATCAATCAATCAATATCAATCCCAATCAATCAATACAAGTCTACTAATATAAATCAACCAATCAATTTACATCAATCATTCATTCAATCTCAATCAATCAATATAAGTCTACCAATATAAATCAACCAATCAATATATTTCAATCAATCAATCATATTCAATCAATACTAGATCTAGAAGCCAACACATCTCCACATTGCCAATACAGTTTTACCCTAATTTTGTATTATCTGGGAAAGAAGGGTAAATGTCTAAAACAGATCCAGGGTGAATAATAGAAATTTAAGTATGTTCAATACAGTTTTCTTTTCATGATCTGTGCACAATCCCTGCTAGTTCAAATATAAGCTCGTACAAAGGTGGGCACAAAGTCAATTAGAAGTAACTACGTTTTTTTTCAGAAAATTGTTTGAATATACTTGTCATATTAAAGTAAGGTTGTTACAGTTGCTACTTCAAGAACTCTTCCAAGTGACCGCGCGAAAGAGGGTTTTAATATACATAATTAGTGTGACGCAAACTATTATAACTTGAATACCATTTTAAAAAGGTTAATTTGTAGATAACATTCTTTACAAGTCTCACTATTAACCAGAGTTTCCAAAAAATGACAATGTTCTTAATACTTGAAAGGGTCATGTTTTATTTTTTCCTCTCATAGAGCCTGACCTGGCAGTACAGCTCTTTATCTTCTACAACTGGATTCTCAAATCTATAAATTTCACATAATCTCCTTTTTATGAGTGACAGCTAACTTACAGAAGCAACAATAAAATAAAAAAAAATATTTTCAAAACCCACCTCCCCTCAAAGACGCGATTACAGAAATGTCAGTGAGTTTCTTATTGAGAAGGTAATCAACTCACTTGCAGACCACCTGTGTTTTTACAAGGCGGGTATTTGCCATCAGGGGCATGTTCTCCATTATGTTCAACTAGAAAGTCTTGTCTCCATCGACTGCTAGCAGGTAAGTTGCTATGCTGCACACATACATGTATATGGATACAATACAATATAAGTAGCTGATATCACAGCAATGCTGCAGGCTTTATACAACCAATGATCAATCTTTTCACATATGTACTGTTATACAGTAGTGACATTAATAATATAATTTCTTTTGCTCATATTTTGGTATCAGATTGTGAATTAATACCAGATACAAATTACTGAAGTAACACCAAACTCAGATGATATGTTTACAAGTAAAAACAACCAAGATTTATTCATCAAGATTGCTCTGGATGTTATAAGATTACAACTGATACCTACTTTGTTCCAAAATATTGTTGAGTACCAGCAGACTTTGTCTACCAATATATTACACATGGAAATAATAAAATACGTCTAGACTTTAGTCAAAAGTCTGCAGTATTTTAAAATATTTGGAAAACAGCGTAGGTAATAAGTTCAATCCAGGGCAATCTCAATAACAAAATCTCAGTGTTTTTGACTGTAAAAAGATGGTAAATATACAAGGTTCAGATGTGCCACAAAATAAAAACCGCTAGTCATTATGTATGCCAAACTGAAACATTACAACCGAATGAACAATGACCCACCATAGTGTATTATTGCACATAGTGGAAAGTTGACCGTTGTGTATTGCCTGCACCGTAAAGTTTGCAAAATTGACTGATCAGGATCTGTAACCCATATTGACAAAAGTTTCCCTTGTCAACACTTTTGGAAATCACATCTTTTTCAGAGAAAAAAACAAAAACAAAATTTGTAAAATGCAGAATTTTGACTGGACTATTTATGCCATTCAACGGATTAAAATACAGTGCCTGGCAGTCAAGTTCACAAACGCAGTAAAGTAAAACAAACAAACTCACGCCAAGATCTTGTGTGTTTTTGCAGCTAGGAAAGAAACCTTGTGCCTCATGCTCACCGGTGTGTTCAACAAGGAAATCTTGCCTCCATCTAGAACTTTTTATACCCATATTAGAAGAATGCTAACAAGAAATGAAATGCAAATGAGGTCTGGGATCAACAATATGCAAGCTATCATTTGGTTATTACCACTGTGACATTTCCAGGTAAAGGTTGGTGTCGGCTTGTTTGAGACTCTTTCAAATTTGTCTTAAGATATCTTCTGCTAATTGTAGAGCAGTGTCACAGAGTATGGCTGGCAATTTTAACCATTTGAAAATATTAACTTTTCGCACGAGAATTTTGATACATTATTGTGCACATTTTTATGCATTTTTATTTTAATGAATATAAATTTTAAATGTTTGATTAAAATCTGAAAAAAAAATGTTGGGTTTTAAAAAAATGAGAAACGTGGACTTCAGCGAAACTGTTAATAAATGCCACATATGTGTGGAATAGTGCAATGGATCATTTTGTTTGAAAATTCAGTTTATAGAGTAAACTACGAAATAACAAGTTAAATAATAATAATCAACTTATAGCTTGCATATAGTAGTGGGATAGAGAGTGGTATAGTTGCAGATTGGTGCCATGTTACATTTAAACAGTCATGCTATTGTGCAGATATTTATTTAATTTTAAAGTGAAAGTCAACATTGTGTAAGCTTATTGTGTGCATGGCATTGCATTCTGAATATATAAGAAATAAAATAAGAACTGAAATGATGGTACTCCCATGTTGGAATGAGACACAACCCTTTAATGTCAATAAAGTGAGATGCATCATGGGAGTACCACAATGTACAATGTTTTTTAAAGGTAGTATAGCAATATAAATTCAGGATCAATGGTTATTTTTTTCAAAATGTTCTTTCAATTCTATATATTCAGGCTGACACATTAGCATTCACATTAGCTACCACCAGAGCTGCTTTGACTTCTTATTAAATTATATATACCGGTATTATATAATAGTGCAAAATCATTTTATATTTATATAAATATAATTTTCATTATCACAATTTATTTATACTGCAGTGACTTCATGAGGAACAGTTACAATAGTCCCTATATGACTGGATTCACTGATATGTGGCATTCCCTCACTCAAGGCATTCATTGCAATTGTTTAGTGTTCTACAAGGCTGGCAAAAAAGAACAAGTAGCCTGTGGGCTGATATAGTCCACTGTTTATGAATCATACTGAACCATCGAGGTTTGCCAAAAAATGCACAAATTAGATAGAAGTACATCAAAGATATCTAAAATTTTCACTAAAATGTGATAACTGAGGTTCCCAATATACCGGTAATCAATTGAAACATTAGGATTCTATGAATATCAAGTATTTTGTATACGCTGAACAAAACTGTGAGAAACAATGGGTGAAGAAATACCATCACCGTAAAAATTTGGCCATTCATGTCTCAATCTTCTGAAGGAAAGTGCAGACTATAAACTAGACTATTTTGTGAATTTGCGATGAAAAGAGGGATTTGGTGCTGAAAAGGTTAAATTACTAATAAAATCTGAGTATATAAATTATATTTAAATCAGACTCACCAACAATGTAATCAAAGACATACCATCAACATCAGAGGGTACTTCATGACCAGAAAGTTCGATAAACGTTGGAGCCAGGTCAATATTTAATACTGGTTCATCGATGACTTTGCCTGCTGGTATTCCTGGACCTCTTATTAGCAATGGAACCCGGATATCAAACTCGTATAGATGCCTTTTGTCACGTGGCATGGAAAACTGACCTGGTTAAGGAGATAACAGAAAAACTGGTTAGGTGTACACAAAACTTATTCAACATTTTCAAAATCGTTATGAAATTATTTATTATCAATCAATGTATATAACCAAGTTACGAAAAATATGAGATGTGGTACATATAAGTGTGTAATTAGTATGTCATGTTTGTTTTGTGTATAGGCAGTTTCTCACCTAAATGGTATCCATTGTCAGACGAGTATATTATGTATGTGTTGTTCAATAATTTCTTTTTGGACAGCGTGTTGATCACATTCTCCACCATGTCATCTACGGACAACAGTGTTCTCCACCTGGAAAACATACACACATTATTATCAAATAAAGGTGATGTCATCCACAAATGAACATGATAAGAAAATATACATAATCTGATCCATACACAGAAATACAATAACATATACAAGATGTAGTAGTTGTTAAAATTATACATACCGTTTTCTGAATATGTCATCAGTGTTTTCTACAGAGTCATTTTTCATGGGTGTAACTTGATGTCTTACCAACCAATGTTTATCCTACAAAAGTAAAACGTAACTGTTAGCCATATCACAGGTAACAATAGACGTGTCACTGGTAACAATAGACGTGTCACTGGTAACAATAGACGTGTCACTGGAAACAATAGACATGTTACACGTGAAGCATATAGTATGACACTCCCTGCTGGTATTTTTTCGAAGTGATTACTTTATGAGCTAAAGACATTTCGAAGGGTGTGTGAAAAATGTGTGAAAGTTAACAACTCTGTGTATTTGCTTATGACAGCAATAACCTATTTAAATGTATCAATTGATGTTTGTGTGATAAGTACATGTATAATGGTAGATTACATCAGGTAAATGATGTACGTTTCTTGTTGGTATATGGTATAATATCAAATACATGTACTAGACATTCATGTCTTATTATATATTATGACTGACACTTGTATGATACAAACTGCATGGAGCCAGTTTATTTGTATAGAATGTCATTAGTCAAGGCATTTCCGAAAAATTGCCTTGGAACAGAGTTTGATGTGCATCATGCACGAACCTATATTGTTCATTGGACAAACCAAGTCAAATAATGGTCAACATTTGGCCACATTGAATTGGATTATGACACAGCTGCATGTGTATATGTGCATGCATGGTGAGTAATTGGCCCGGGGAAATAAAACTAAAAACATAATTTGAAAAATGAGTCATTACACTGTATGAATAAAATCATTAAACAGAAGACTTACACTGCCGTGTTTGTTGTAACTTGCAGTCCTTGGTGCTCGTTTATTAGTGTAGTTCTTCATGAACTGAGGGGCCGAGTCAAAAGGTGCATGGCAGGCAGGGGTGGATAACATCATGAAGAATGGCTTGGAATTCTCATGCTGTATTGTCAGAAAATCCTGTGCCCTGTTGTTCTAGGAAAAGACAAATTTTTCGTATTATATCGGTAAATGCATGGTGTTTTGTTGAGTCACAATGATATAGTTATAGTTAAGGTTGTAGAAATATAACTACCGTAACCTAATATTGCACATTTGTAAAACATTATATTAAGTCAGCAAATACATCTTTACAAAAATAATGAAACATGAAAATTACTGTCAATCTGTTTCTTGAGAAAACAGTAATAATCGATTCAAAATATTGGCAATATTTTAATACGTGTAAGACATTAATATATCTTTTTATTTTTACCATATGTCACCTCATTGTAATATTAGTGTCTTAAATCTCCTAACTAATTTGAATTGGGAATGGTGGGAAAAGGGGCACAAATGATTCGTTCAATTTGAATTTGGATTGTTTTAAATGTAGCAAAACCTGGATACTAGAACAAGGCATTTGGTAGACACAAATAGTTTTGGGGACATCAAAACAAGCAGCCTGTCGGCTGAGACAGCTCCACTGTTAGCAATGCACATTTCAATTAAAGAACAGAAGATATCATTAGAAAATGAACAATATGTATATTATCAAAGCCACAGGACTTGCTGTTTTCAACAAGAATTCAAAAATATCACTTTTTACCAAAAATTTAAAAATCATTCACTAAAATTAGAGAATTAAAGATATCATCATGAAATGAACAAATCTGATAGAGGACCACATGTAATACCTCTATATGTAATATCAAAGCAATTGGACTTGCGGTTTTCAACAAGAAGTCGAAAATATCACTTTTTACCAAAAATGACAAAAATATTCACCAAAATTAGAGAATTAAAGATATCATCATGAAATGAACAAATCTAAGAGAAGTCTACCCAAGGTACATATACACCAAGTATCAAAGCATTCAGGCTTACACTTTTCAAGAAGAAGTCGAAAAAGTAAAACATTGACACGGACGCCGGACGACGACGGACAATCACTCATATGATAAGCTCCGCTCGACAAAGTCGACAGCGGAGCTAAAAATGGGGTCATAGGTTTATGAAGTTAACATTTGAAACTATTATAAACTAATTTTTTTTTTTAATTTGTTTAAAACTATTATTAAACAATATGAAGGAGAAAAGGAGATCTTAAGCCTGTTTCACATTTAGCATGCCTAAGGCAAGCCACTATTTAATTGTTTGTTACCTGTCTCTTTGGAATGCAGATTTGTTATATCAGTGTCCAACATGGCAAACCTCAAAGTGTTGTTTGTAGTAGTTTCCATCATCACAATAGCAATGTCTTAAGTCGTTTTTTAGTTCTCCCAACTAATTTGAATCGCGAATGGCGGCAAAAGGGACACAAATGATTGGTTCAATTTGAATTTGGATTGTTTTAAACTTTTGTCATGTTGAACAATACCTGGCCACAGTAACAAGACATTTTGTGGACACAAATAGTTTTGGGGACATGAAAAAAAAATTGCAAGACTTTCTTTCTGACACTATTATTGTAACAGTTGTTTCAACTTTCCTTTTACTTGTGCTGTCATTCTCTCCTTTTAAATATTCCCTGGATTGCAATCTTTTTGTGTGTAATGCTGTCTTTGGAAGTACCATTGGGAATTCTTTATTATATATATTATATATTATATATTATATATAACCTTTTCACCACCAGTTCCCTCTTTTCATCACAAATTCACAAAATAGTCCTGTTTATAGTCTGCACATTCCTTTCAAAGATTAGGACAAAAATAGCCAAATTTTTTGAGTAACAACTGAAAATTGACTCAAATTTTGTTGGTTCCAAAATTAGGATTCATTTCCAAAAATATATTGAAGACTGTAAGAAAAAAAAAATTGCACATAAAATTTGAGTGAGAAAGTCTGGTGGTGTTTGTCATTTTTTCCTCTTGTGAAGAGCTCTTGAAACTATGCAACAAAACTCATGAATCTAAGGCTGGCCTGAATATTTATGTTTGTATTTACACACAAAATTTAGTCAAGCCTATAATTTGGGTAAGCCTATTAAGGTCTGCCTTATTTCCAAATGAAACCACCTATATACTTAATATTTAATTTTTTAGTACATGACAAGATAATATTTCAATTTAAATGACTTAAATAATTATCATACTTTACATTGTATAGCATGTATGCAAATGTTGCACAATTTGAAATTAATAATAATCTGAATTGCCATGACTCATCAACAGTTAATAGCCAAACGAACCATGCTCAAATGCCATGTTGGCAGAGGAGAAGTAACTATATCATTATCAGATAGGAATTGTTTTGAGTGTAACTTCAGGGAAAATTATGATGTAGACAGTCACAACAATACTGTAAAGGGGGTAATTATTCACTGGGTTTTAATTTAGCTCATTTCGCTGACTGGAAAATGCGCTAAATTAATAAAACCCAGTGAATATGTAAAATGTAGAATAGAACACATTATCTAAATGACGAAACCGTGAATTTTAAAACCCATTGAATGTGCCTGAAATGGTAAATCAGTGAAATTTAAACCCAGTGAAAATTAGTCATTTTACAGTAATTGGGACAGACAGTTCCTGTTCATATACCTCTCTCTTTCATCTCATTCTGTACTTTGTATACTCACTATTAAGTCTGTTAAATAGTCTTTTTTGTAGTCATGGCCATGTGTTTCAGCTGTACCATTTACTGATAACTTGTAATTATAATACACAGAGTTATGCACCTAAAGAAAGTAACATTATTATTATTATAATATATGCATACACTGTTGTAGCTCTGTAACCTGTAGCAAATTATTTTAATAACATCAGATCATTTGATAGCAATAATAATGTAATAGTAACAAGCATTGATAATGCATAGTCCCTGTTTAGTATTAGCTGTGGTCGATGTAAATGTTCAGTACAAGTAACGTGTAGAAATGAAAGGTCAATGTTTTTTTAACACTAACACAGATTATAGATTGTGTTACTGTCAGTATTCTACCTACGTGGAAACTTTAAACTGAATTGGACTATATCTTTCAGAGGAAATAGCATTAAAGAAAAACACAGTCAGTCGGGTATTTTTGTTCAAGTATCTCCAAAAGAAATATGGGTTGCACTGTAACCCAATATGTAAGGTAATCATACAACTTCGTACAAACAGGGACTAATAAAGTCCATTGCTATACTGCAATGATCAGAGGAACTTTTTTCAAGAGTTTGCTAACTTTCCGTTGATTCTTTTTACACTTGCTGTAAAATCAAATCCAAATTTAAACATGACGAATATTTCTCCTTTTACATTGTATAAAGTAGAGAGACATTTAGGACATCAGGTAAGCAAAACCAAAAAAATATATTTTAAAATTGCAACTTACTAATCCATTCCACCAATCCCAGCCGGGAGGTATATGCTCAACACCACCAGCATCTTTATCACCATACTGAAAATATACAAAATGAAACATGCTCTGTCATTCTGAATAATCCATTAAATTATGATTAACAAAAAGTATGAGAGATATTGACAACTATAAATCTTTAATAAATCAAAATCAATTCATTCCATAATGACTATTCATCATGTCACCATAAGTTCGTGATGAAGCCTTATTTTTTAAGGTGAAACAATGAATTGAATTAAGGTAGCAGAATAGTTTTTTGGGCACTTTTCACATTTTTTTTTGAAAATCACACGAATAGCTCCCTAAGGCATGCTACATACATTGGTGGTTTTATTTTATTGAAAAAAAAATATCTTGTACAAGTAAACTGATTTTTTTCTTGTGTGCAAACAAATGGCCAAGTTTTTGTTTATCCAGTGTACACCCAACTAGTGCATCTCATTAATATGCATGGTTTACAAACATAACTGAACTGAGGGTAAATAGTTTTAAGTTGAGCCACTTTCTTTATTTGCTATTTACAAACAACTGATAAGATATATGTTTGTAGTTTACACACAGCTGATTAGATGTGATCACTGCTGCCTTTCTAGACAGGAAGTACAGCAAAGACAAAACAATCGCTTTTGAACAACAAATTTTGAATAAACAAAAAAGTACATGAATGTACCACTTCAATGTAATTATATG